TGCTAACTTCAGACTGCTTATTTAAGAAGCAAATATCCAATATGCATGTTGTTAGTTGCCATCGAGTCAGGCTTCCAACTGATGGTGACCCCATGTATAATGATAACCCACAGTTATGATCTATAAGGTTTTCATGCCTGATTTTTATTTTTTTAAATTGTGATTTGGGTGAAAGTTTACAAAGCAAATTCATTTTCCCTACAGAAGTTCATGTACAATTTGTTTCATGACATTGATTGCAATCCCCATAATGTAACAGCTCTCTTCTCACTTCCTCCCTGTAGTTACCTCTTCTCTATGTCCTTTTTTCCTGTGCATTTCTGTTCTTTGAGCTATCTACCTATGGAAATACTGCCTTTCTGATCTTCCGTGATTGATTGCTCTAAGGAGTGTATCTACCTAGTGGAAATGTTCACCCTATATGCTTGTCTGTTGTTTGGGTGGAAGTCACAGGAGTGATTTCAATTTCAGACCTGAAAGGTAGCTAAGGGTCATGGTGTCAGGTGTTTCACTTGGCTCTGTCAGACCATGAAGCCTGGTCTTTTTTATGAATTTGAGTTTTATTCCACATTGTTCTCCTACATGCTCTAGGATCCCCTAGTCTGATCCCTTTCTGAGTGGTTGACATTGGTATCCAGGTACCATCTAGTTCTTCTGGTTTGTCAGTCATATAGGCTGAGGTTTGAATGCTAAACTAGTTCCTTGGAAAAATTGTTTCCATGTGTCTTTGGTTTTCTTCATTCTTCTTTGCTCTGGATGAATAGAGCCTAATTGTTGCATCTGGATGGCTGGTTGAAAGTTTTTAGACCCCCAGTTGCTACTAACCAAACTAGAATGTAGAACAATGTTTTTGTGTAGTATGTCATGCCAGTTGAGCTTGATGTCCTCTGTGACCATGGTCCCGAGCCCACAGGTCCAACAACTTGCTCCTTCAGGGTGGTTGGCTGTGGCTGAGAAGTTATCATAACTTTGTCCCCGTTAATTCTATTTATATGGAGATTCTTACAGCACATACAAATATGTATGCAGAAATGTCATCTGTCAACTTTATATGGTCATTGCTATATTCCCTTTTGCCTAGACATATCTGGTCATTCAGCCTGTCTACTTACGTATCTATCTGTAGACTAATGTTTGTTGTTACTGATAATGCAGTATTGTGTATGTAGAAGTGTTTATCTTTGTTGCCTGTACCTCTTGTGCACCTCTCTGTGTCCTTTATTCCTTAGTGTTATTTTGTTTGTCACTCACTTTTAGTATATGGCCTTGTTGTTGTTATTTGCCATCGAGTCGGCCCCCGACTCATAGCGAGCCCCCCTTGGGTTTCCGAGGCAGTATCACTACAGAAGTAAGATTGCCCAACCTTCCCTCTGAGGAGTGGCTGGTGGGTTTGAACCCCAGCCTTCTGGTTAGCAGTCAAGTGCCTTAGGCACTATGCTACCAGAGCTACTATATGGCCTCATTGCCTGACTTTTTTGGAAGTCTTTTCTTCCTAGTATGTCTTTGTCTGGAATCTCTGTTGAAGCCTGCAACATGCAAGCTTCCATTGACAGACAGGTGTTGGCTGTACTTGGGGTGCATTGGCCTGAAATTGAACCTCAGTTTCCCATATGGGAGGCATAAATTATACCACAGAGCAACCACTGTCCCTTTGTGTGTGAATAGGAATAACTTACTGGAGAAAAAAAAATGATAGATTTGAGATTCATAGAAATGTGATCAATAATTATAAATGTTTACCTTTCAAAACCTCTCTATATATGAATTTCTGTTTCTGCTACTCTACCTTATTTTTGAAACACAGTTTAAAATAGCTGATTGTATTAATGTTAGACATGTTCTTAAGCCAGCTATATAAAATATAGGAACTCCAAATAATATACTTAAAAACAATTTCATCTACAAACAGTCCAACAAGTAACTAATTTGTTTAATGATCAATTTGTGTAAACTTCACCATATTTTTGAGTGGGTACTCATTTGCATATCCATTTTTTTCATCTCCTTGAGATTTTAAAACTTTTATTTGTTCAAGGACACTTAAATTTTGACATAGATACAAAAATTTAATTAAATTTGAAGTGTTTTGTAAATTTGCAATTTCTTTGTATTTGTTATATCTTAAAACTTTTTTTTTTTTGTTTAAGGACTTTTTGTAAGTTAAGGAAATTGAATGTTAGAGCAATTGGATGAAATAAATTTTCTTTTAACTCACGTAACTATTCATTTTAACGTGTTTTATTTTGAGATATACAGTAACATGGGAGCTCTGGTGGCATAGTACCTAAGGCATTTGATTGCTAACCAGAAGGCTGGCAGTTCAAACCCACCAGCCACTCCTCAGAAGGAAGATTGAGCAATCTACTTCAGTAGAGATGCTGCAAGTGTATGGCTCATAGACTGCATATGTGTGTGTGTGTGTGTGTGTGTGTATACTTTTTTTTTCCCCACGAAACTACCACATAGATTACGATACTCAGATTCTCTTCCCTTCTACCCCTTTCTAGTTAATAGCACCTTTGCCTTCCCCAAAGGAAACTACTTTCTGAATTCCGTCATTAGAGACTCATTTTACCAGTTCTTAAACTTTGTATAAATAGAATTGTGTATTATATTTGCTCTTTTTATGCCTGGCTTCTTTCCTTTAATGTAAGTTTAGCAATCCACCCATGTGGTTACATGTATCAGAAATTCTTTTTTGTTGCTGAGTAGTACTTTACTGAGGAGCCCTGGTGGTGCAGTGTTAAAGTACTTGGTTGCTAACCAAAGAGTCAGTAGTTTGAACCCACCAGGCCCTCCTTGGGAGACCAATGGGACACTCTGCTTCAGTAAAGATTTCAGCCTTGGAAACCCTATGAGGCAGTTCTACTCTGTCCTATGTGGCCACTATGAGTTGGTGTCTACTCCATGGCAATATTATTGAATAGATCACTATTTTTTTTTACCCTCTTTCCTGTTGATGAACATTTGGCTTGTTTCCATTTTGGAGTTACTCTGGCTGTGCCAGCTTTTTAACAGTAAAGCCCAAACTAGAATGAGTAAAGTGATGTAGCCAGGGCAGAATAAATGAAAATGAAGTGATATATTTAATTTCTTAGTCTTTGTGTTATTCTTAAATTCCAGAGATATTTCTTTTTTAGACACTTCTGACAAATATTTATTTTTTATATACCTTAAAAAGTATTCCAGTAAGTCAATTTTCATTAATATGCTTACAATTTCCTGACTTATTCCCCCCCAGTTTTTTTTACTTACAGTAGAAGAAACAGCAATGACAAAGTTTTATTTTTTAGAATATGTGCACTTTTTAGTACAATATCATAGTAATGAAAAATTTGAAAGTAGTAAGTTAAAACACTTGTAACTTTTACATTATGGGAATCTCTTATTAAAAAAGATTCAGCATTTTTCTGGAATATATTACTTTATTATCAAAAATGTTTTGCAAATTTTTCTATATATGTGTTGCACAATACTATATTCTAATAACTTTATCTTTTTCATTTGGTTTTCAGGCCCTACACATATCTGCCATATTAGACACGGAACCAGAAATGGATGAGCATTTTGTTTGCACTTTGTTTAACCCAACTGGGGGTGCTAGACTAGGGGCACCTATTGAAACTCTGATAACAGTTATACAAAACCAAGCCCCTTTGGGGCTATTCAGTATCTCTGCAGTTGAAAATAGGTATAGTTTATTCATAAGGAAATTTACCACATGTGAAGCTAAGTGGGGTATATTTTTGACATAAAGAAAACGCATAAGGAAATTGATCTCTGATTATTTCAAAGGGAACTTTACAATGAGCTCTAGCAGAGAGATAGCATGCCATCACATAACGGGGAGTGTCAAAAGCAAAACCTGTTCTGTTTAATGGTGTAGTTCACAGTCTTATATTCTCAGAATTCATATTTCCAGGCAAAAAGCTTCACTATTTTGTGTTTTTAATAATAAAAATTGAGAAATAATATAAAATATATTTAGCTTCTAAAACCAAGTGAACTACTCTTCATGCATATTAACAGGATTGTAGTCTTAAAATTTCCTCTGGAAGCTCACAAATATTTTTTTATATACCTTAAAAAATATTCCAATAATTCAATTTTCATTAATATGCTAAGAATTTCCTCACTTTTTTCCTCCAAATTTTTTTTTAGTTATGGTAGAAGAGACTCAATGACAAAGTTTTACTTTTTTAGATTATGCAGTGTGAAATTACTGATTTTTAATATTTTCTCATGATTGTGGTATCAGAATGTTATATTTTTGTTGATTATTTTTGTTTTTATTGTAAATATTTTTATGCTTTAGAGTCTAGTCTTCTTGACATAAAATTTGTAGATCTCACCTTGGCTCATGTAAATTTAAATGTATAATAACATATCAAGTATATGCTAGCAGTATGATACTTATTTGAAAAAAATGTAGAAATCATATTTTTTTCTGCTTTCTACAATCCATTTGTTTCTTCTAGAGCCACCTTTATAGCCATCGAAGAAGCCAACAGGACTGTATATTTAAATATCTCACGTACTAATGGAATTGATTTAGCTGTGAGTGTGGAGTGGGAGACAGTATCTGAAACAGCCTTTGGCATGAGTATGTTTAATTTTTATGAGAACAAAACTGTATAACCAAGCAAGATTGTATGTATACGTTTTACATTTCCCCCCTGAATTATAACTCATGAATCAGTTGAAAATGGAAAATAGATATCTAATTATTTTATTGCATCCACAAATATTAATTAATGAGTACCTATCATGTGTCAGGCACAGTGTTAGCCTGTAGGAGCTGAGAGTTTAGGAGGTGACAGAAATGAATTAAACAAACAAAAATCAATATGTAGTTTAAACTCTAATAAATGTTTTAAAGGAAAAGACTTAGGTGTTGTGAGAACATAAGGGAGTGCATTCTAGGAGTATCAATGTTTTAACTAAAACCTAATGATAAATAGGGATTGATTATGCAAAGAATTGTATTGGAGGAAAAAAAGAGGAGAGAGAGAGAAAAAGTCTAGTTATAAGTCTAGAGGCATAAGGAACATATCACAAATGAAGACTTTAAGAGAGCACAGTGGACAGAAATATGGAAAGATGAATAGGGTCGTTATGAGTTGGAATCAAGTTGATGGGAGTGGGTTTTTTGGTTCAGTTGAGTTTGGAGATACAAACAGAACCAGATCATTCAATAACTTGAAGAATATGTTATGGAATTCCATCTTTATTCTAGTGATAAAATGATGCCTTTGAATGGTTTAGATGTGGAGAAGGGTTACTGGGTGCTTATCAACACACACAGGGTATGATTACATTTGCATTTTTAAGATATTATTCTGGGTGTCATGTAGAGAATGGGTTGGTATTGAAGAATAAGAGATGATATACAGGGAGACAGAAAGGAAAAAGATGTCAGTAGCTTGGGTTGGCTATGAGAAGGAGGGACAAAGAGGTATTAGTGATGACTACTAGGTTTCTAGCTTGTACCATTAGGTGGAGGGTCATGCTGATCACTAAGAAAGGAAACACAGGAGATGGACAAGGTGTTATTTTGATGAAAAGAGTAAAATAAGTGTGGTTTAACATATTTTAAATTCGAGTTGCTTTGGATATCTCAAAAGAGAGATCTTTGCTAGTAAGGAAAATTTGGGAATTTTAAGCATGTATTGAATTTAAAGTCATATAAACCAAAAAACCAAACTTACTGCCGTGGAGTTCCAACTCATAGCAACACCTCCTTGGGTTTCTGAGGCAGTATCATCACTGTGGAAGTAAATTGCCCTATCTTCCTTCTGAGGAGTGGCTGGTGATTTTGAACCGCCAGCCTTCTGGTTAGCAGTCAAATGCCTTAGTCACTATGCCAAGTCATATAAGTTGATGTAATATCCTGGAAAGAGAAACTGCAGATAGGGATGGGAAGATGACCCAGAACTGAGCTCTGAGAAGGCTCAGACTGAAGGATTTACCCATATGATCAGGACCATTCAGGAATCTTAATAAAAAAAAAGCTATAGTGTACCTTCAAATGGTGACAAAACAGGAAGCTGCAATATTGGATTGCTAGGGAAGGAAATTCTAATGGATATAGTACATGGAAAGCATTGGCATTGTGACTTCTTAAATTGGTAATCAAAAGTGATCGGTACTTTATGAGGAGCCGAGTTGGCAGTGTTGACATTTGTTCTTGCATCATGTTGACCCCATTAATGAAAGTTGAAGAATTTACTTTCTTTTGGAAAAGGTCATGATAATAGAATATAGGATTTTTTAATAGTTATTCTTCATTACATAAGGATTTTTTTTTTTTTTTTTGTAATAATAGAATTTTAGGATATTTCCAGTTGTAGCAGTTTGATAAGACCTTGACAGTCATTTGAAATATGTAGGTCTGCTTTGGACTTATTAAAGTATCTACAAATAAAGTGAGGATTCACTGAATCAGCAGTGTTACAAATTAGTAATATAAGTTTTAAAAATCCAATATTTCACATATTTTACAGAGGATATTAGAATTTCTCATATTTAGTTTATCATCTTTATGAAAGCTGATAAAATCATGTTCAGCATATTTCTTTTTTTTTTAACACATTTAGTATTTATTTTTAAATATACTCAGAAAGGTCTATGTGTCTGTAGAGTATTAACAACTTGTTGTTTTCAATTATAATCGTTAATTTTAAGTGATCTCACTTTTTTCTCTCTCAAATACATACACACATAAATCATAAAAATATTTTTATTTCTAATAACAAATACAATAGTCTTACCATTTAAACAGAGAATTCTGAATATATAAGGTTTGTAAGGATTGTACACTAGTAAATAATAATTTTTGTTTTCCAGGGGGAATGGATGTTGTGTTTTCCATATTTCAAAGTTTTTTGAATGAATCAGTTTCTGGTTGGTGTTTCTTTACTTTGCAAGATTCATTATATGGTGTAATGTTAAGAAACTTGTCTGTGGGATTTTCTACTATTTATCGATGGCAAGGAATTTTTATTCCAATTGAGGTAAACACACTTACTTTATAATAGACAAAATAAAATAAATGTCTAAATTTTGGATGCATTGTGAACTATTTATTCTTATTCTTTATTTCCTAGGATCTAAATATAGAAAATCCTAAAACTTGTGAGACGTTTAATATTGATTTTTCCCCCTTCTTTGTGATTACCCATGAAGAAACAAATCAAGGAAAGTCTTCTGTAAACAGTGTGTATACAGTCACATCTGGATTCAAATTATTACTGGTAAAAAAATCATTTTTTAATTGTAGATTGCTTTATTAAAAGCAAAATTAGATATATAAGATTTATTTAGATGGAAGATAATGTCTATTCTATGTTAATGTGAAAAAGGACTTTCTATAATTTGATATATATATGGTGCACAGGTATTAGCTCAGCTTACAGACTGAGACAAACCAAGAAGAAGGAAGAATCCATCTAAGAATTGGCCATGGAAAACCTTATGAATAGCAAAGAAACACTGTTTGATACATTACTGTACAACTTTATGAATACTC